TCCAGATGAGTGGAGACTGTTCATTGATTCATCGAAGACGAGTCTTAAAGCTGTTTTACTGCATAATGGCAATGTTTTGCCATCAATTCCAGTTGGTCATGGAGTACATATGAAGGAAACCTATGACAACATAAAACAACTTTTGAGGTGCATAAACTATGACCAATATCAGTGGCAGCTTTGTGGCGATTTGAAGGTTGTTGCTCTCTTGCTTGGTCTGCAGACTGGATACACAAAGTACTGCTGTTTTCTCTGCGAATGGAATAGTCGTGCAAGAGATTCCCACTACATCAAGAAAGATTGGCCACTCCGACAGTCATTGGAGCCTGGGAGGAAAAGTGTTCAGCATCCACCACTTGTTGAATCAAGGAAGATTTTGTTACCACCCTTACACATCAAGCTGGGTCTGATGAAGAACTTTGTCAAGGCCATTGACAAAACACAAGCAGCTTTCAAGTACCTCCGTGGAAAATTTCCAAGGTTAAGTGAAGCTAAGATAAAGGAAGGTGTCTTTGTTGGTCCTCAGATTCGTGAACTTCTTCGAGATGATGCATTTGACCATGCACTGTGTGGCAAGGAAAAGACGGCATGGAAAGCCTTCCAGTTAGTGGCAATAAATTTTCTCGGAAACAACAAGGCAGACAACTACAGGTTGTTGGTGGAAAACCTCCTCAAGGCATACAAAAGCCTTGGTTGTAACATGTCACTAAAGATACATTTTTTGCACTCTCATCTAGATTTTTTTCCACCGAACTGCGGAGCACTGAGCGACGAGCACGGTGAGCGATTTCACTAGGACATTGCAACAATGGAGAAACGCTATCAGGGCAAATGGAGCCCATCAATGCTTGCAGACTATTGCTGGACAGTCACAAGAGATGCTCCATTTAATGAATACAAGAGACAAGCCAAGAAGCGCCGAGTAGACACGGAATAGGACTAAACTATGTACATAATCGTTTTTTGCCTTTTGTTTCATAATAAATTTTATTTATATAACCCTTTTGCTGATTTTTAAAGTGTTACATAAACAGGACAGGTGAAATATTATCATGTAAAGCAACCATAAACACATGAAAAGACCTAGGTTTACAATTTATGATTAAAACTCTACTATCTACACAATATACATAGACATAAAATGTAAAAACTTAAATATCTTAGAAACAGTAGCCAATCAGTTGTTTTAATTGTCATATTTGAATTCAGCACATCAAAATACATAATAAATAGCACATTTTATCTCTGAAGCAGACGACTTCTCAAAAATTGTAGACCAGTCAAATCAATCCATGTCCCTTTGGATATGACTACACTGGAGCTGGAAGGTGTAATTTCCAGCTCAAGGAGACATATCTGCGCTGGCTCTGATCAAGCTAGAGCACTAAAAACAGAAGTGTAAGTGTGGTGGTGCAAGTGGCAGGATGGGCACTGTCCGGAATACAGTCTCATCTAAGACCCTAGATACATATTCAGGCAGCTAGCACCACTTGCACCACTCTGGTTAGCACGGATATGTCTGCTCTAGTTGGAAATTACACCTTACATCTCCAGTGTAGACATACGCTCTGTGTGCCTAAGTAAGGACTCAATGCCTGATCTTAGGCATCCAGTTCTGAACTTTTGAGCCTGCATTTTCTGACTTTTAGTCCTCTGTTCTAGCTATTATCCACTACTGCAGCCCAAAGCACCACTACTCAGTGTGCTATTTCTGGGGTAGACTAAAAATTTATCTTTGGCTGACGGATCCTTGGAATTTTGCTATCATGTCCAAAATAGGATACTGTGAATCATATATAGGATTGTGTGTTTAAAGAACGAAGTGCTTTTTAATTTTTTTCAGATGCCATATAAAGTTCCTGTGTGGTTTGCTATTGCAAGTATATAGATGATGGAAATCTAATATAGTACATTGACTTGTTAATCCTTAGAATAGCATTTATTAGTTACTGTTGATAGAAATAAGACTTAATAAAAAGGCTATGAAGTAAGTAATTTTTACCATTATACACAAAGTAAGACTCCAGTGTGTTTGACCTTTTGAATCCCTTACAAAAAGATCCAAACTGTTGGATTTATAGCTAAACCATGTTCCTTCATTAAGTTTAAAATATGAAATGCTCTTCCTGTAGATTAATTCATTCCTGCTTAAAACAAGGTTTTAAATGACACTGCACTTAAGAGTTTAACTTGGTACTGTATATTATACAATTTAGAATTGTGAATTTGTTTTGATTAAAACTGAAAACATCCAGATACAATTTCTCTGAGAATGAAGAAATCCTCTCTCATGTAAATAGGGAAATAACAAAAGCCTATTTGATTCTTCCAACCCCACATTCTCTGTCTGTATGCTTCATGCCTACAGCCCAATCCTGCAAGGTGCTGAGCATTTCCTGTGAGGTGTTGACTGCACTCAACCCCCACTGATCCCTTCAAATGAGAGGGCTCAGCACCTCATACCATTGGGTTTAAGGATCCAGCAGGCCTATGAAGCCTTACTTGACTGTTTGGAGTCAATAGGCCTACTTGCGTGAGTGAGAGTTGCAAAATCAGGCCCTTTTCTGTAAATCCTTTGGGATGGATATATGTCTTTCTACATGTCTGTAAAGTGCCAACTGCTATAGAAACTGTTATTGGTGAAGCATGTAGCAGAGCTGTTAACAAAAGCTGCACATGTTTTTTATTTACCATTCTCAGTCCTAGAACTATTGCTGCTTAGGAGTCACCATGGTTAAGAGGATACCACACTCTGAATACCAAATAGAATGGAAGAGGGGGGTCACTCTGCATATGTCTACACTGCACTAAAACCCCCGTGGCTGGCCCGGGTCAGCTGACTCCAGCTTGCAGGGGGCTATAAAATTGCAGCGTAGACATCTGGGTTCGTACTGGAGCCCAGGTTCTGAGACCTCGTGAGGGGGGGCGGGTCCCAGAGGCCAGCATCCAGCCCAAGCCTGAAAGTCTACCCTGCAATTTTATAGCCTCTCAGCCTGAGCCCCATGAGCCCGAGTCAGCTGACCGAGGCCAGACACAGGTGTTTTATTGCAGCGTAGACATACCCTGTGGGATTTGAATTTGAGTGGATGATTTCAGTTCTGATTTGAGCCCAGATGTATGTGGAATTCTACATCTTTTTAGCACGTCCTTTAGTCTATTGCTTAGTCCAGTCTGGTGTGTGATTTGTACCCACTGTTATTTCACAAGTAGGTACAATTTTTTTTCTTTCTGTAGAGGTCTATGCAACACTTAGATATACATAGAAGGAACGAATGAGTCAGAATACTGATCAGTCATAATAATTATGTGTTCTGGTAAACATCTGACCTAGATGTCAGCTATTTCTGAAAACCTCTTACAATTCCATGAATACAGAAAACTGTTCCGCCAATCATCATTAGGAGAAAAAAAACACCCATACAATTATTATATAGAGGGCACTAATAACACATTGGATGAAATCCAGAATCCATATGTACATTCCACTTTCTTCCATTGCTCAGAACTCTCTCAAACAAATTCTTTTTTGGGTTGCAAAGGAAAAGTGCTTTAATTGTTCCTTAGTTACCCGAATGTGAAAAATATACTTTTCCTATATGTTACAATTAATTCACTTACATAAATAACAAAATAGTTTCGAGAAGAAGGTTCACTCTGTGGTTGTCTTGTATGTCTCAATTAAAGTAAAAAAATCAAGCCAAATTTGAAGACAAAAAACGGTTCCGTGGTTTTACAGTTACGAGCATTTAGAGATGCCAGATTCGCACATAGCCATTAGAATTTTTATTTAAGGTTTTTCATGGAGCTTTTAAAATGTTGGTTCTGCAAATCAGCCCTTCAGCTTTAGTGGTGCCCTTAAACTGAGAGCTTAGCTGAGACATGCATATGAGATGAAGGCTTTTTAGTGGCAATGGTGCCAACTATAATTCTTGACCTATTCAAGGAATGTTGAAGTGAATCAAGTGCAGCTTGTAATCTCCCCATGCCAAATAGCTCCGGATTTCTTTTTTTATTTTTCCTTTAAAGAAACAAGATAACTAAATATAAAAATACTGCAATGTTAAGCTTGAGAAATCAAACATGCCCAAGTCAAGAAATTGAAAAGTTAAGGCTGCTTCTGCTGTATTAACTCAGCTTAATTGCACATATGTATTTTCTATTCCTGTTTTACTTGTTAAATGTTAACTTTATTGGGGTCGTGTTTTAGTGTATACCATAAAAGTATCAAATGATCAACCTGGTGGAATTAATGTCCCAAGAGGAATGCTAGTAAGTTTTGATGCCATTCAATAATCATACAATTATGATTAAGACATTTTAGTGTTTGTGGCCTCAAATTAGACACAACTTATTTTTAAAGATCATATAGATTTTTTTCACAATATTTTCCCTTCATAGTATCACTATAGGGGAGAATCAAAATTGTTTGAGGATCTTAACTTTGTATTTTCATACCTTAACATGTTTGGAATCTTTGATAGTTTAACCTTACCTTTGAATTCACTGGATTAGTAATGCTTGCTTTTGGGATAATTGAAAACTTCCTGGGGTGATCTTTTTACCTTCAAACTACCCTCAAGCTTCATTCTGTCTTAACTTAGCTTTTTGTCTAAGAATAGTTAAGAATGTTTGATTAAAGTAATAATGATTATTTTAATGTTATATTTCAGTATAATGATACTTCACCTTTGTTTTATTATATATTTAAAGAAATCTAATCTTTTAAGTTGTATGTAATATACAAGATACAGTATTGTAATAGCAATGATTGTAGAAGGAAGCCTGTGGAAGTGGGTTTAACCCTGAAACAAGATTATCTGTAGCCAAATAACGCCCATTTAATCTTGCAGTTTTTACTGGAGGAGGCTAGGGTTTAGCAATGGGTAGGTCTGAGACTCTAAGTATTCCTCAGTAATAATATTAGCCAAAGGGGGAAAGCTTGTTTGAGAGCAATCATTCATGCTGGTTAGGGTGGATTTTGCTGTTTCCATTCTCCTTACCTAATGGTACCGTCGGCCAGCCAACCTCTGGTGCATGCGGCAAAAGAACAGTCCACTACAGCCCGTCTCAATTCCTCTGCAGTGGCTAAGCGAGCGCCCAGGTCAGTACACAATTTCTGAGCTGCGGTTAGGTCCAGATCCTGAGAGCTGTTTCTGGATTCAACTGTGAACAACTTCCCTGCAGCACCAAAGACAGACACACACAACAAAACGTGTCACATGTCACAGTGTTGTATTAAATAAATACACAAATATATTGTGGATTGTGACAAACCTATCAACTGAAAAATTAAACTTATTTTCTTTTATGATCTCAGTTTAATTTTAACTGAGCTCCTTGATCTTGGGAGCTAGTAACTTAAGCCTAGATCTTTAAAGATATTTAAGTGCCTAATTTCTATTGAAATCAATGGTAGTTGCGCATCCAAACACCTTTAAGGATCTGGTCCTTGCTTCTGGCCTATACCACTAGTAAATTACTACTCCTGTATACAAGCATGTGCATGCACACACACACATACACATATGTTTAGCTATGTGGTTTAGCTCCTTTGATCAGTAATTTGAGAAGTGGGGCTAAGTTTCCATATATTTCTGACCCAGGTGAGTGGCTCCCCTTACTCCTACATGCCTGGATCCAAAGTTTGTATAGCTCTTGGAGCGTAAATAGGGGTTCTTACTCCCTCATATGGGTGTATAGTGAGAGTCAGAATCTATCCCGTAGGAACTGGTAATGCATGTCTTACACTTAATTTATAAAATCAATCAAATTTATAAAATAACAAATACCAGTTTAAAAAGCTAGCAATGTAACTTGCTCTTCCATATCAGCAACAAATTAATTCCCAGTCTCTACTAGGAAAGGAAAGGCTTCATATACTTTGCAATAACCTGGACCTAAATTCTGCCACAAATCACCATGGTTTTCATATCAGACTGGAGCTGCAGACTGGAAAATATGCAGCACTTCCAAGTAAATTTTTAAAAAGTGGAAGGCTTTTATTTAATGAAATATGAAAATGACTAATAGAATCAGCAGAGTATTCCTTATTGTTTGATTTTGTTTTAAACTCAGTTTATTTTACCCTGACTTTAAATTTTCAATGCACTGCAGATTTTTGTTCTTACAACGCATTCCTGCATTGTGGACTTTATCGGGGTAGAAGCTGGAGGTTTTAGCAGTTGGGCAGAGGGCAGGTAGGATTTTGCATCAAAGGCAGCCTAGGACATGATTGATTTGTAGAATAAGCATATTTGCTAGCTGATTCCGCGAAAAATGATAAGCAGCAAAATAATTAACAATGTTGACATTTACATTTTCATAATTCGGTTTTCAAGTTAACACCCCACTGAGCTAACGCAAGTCTCAGAGCATTTGTTTTTGGATGTCTGCAGACCCAGGAAGACAGCAGTACATCAGATTACAACAGTTTATGTCAGGAAGGGCTTCTTTGTTATCATAAGTAACATTTTATTTAAATAAAATCTTAGATTCTACAGCACAATTCGACAGCAATTGGGGCATTAGGTAGCAAATTCCCTCATCCCAGATTACATAGGCCCTAACTAAACTAGCTCAGAAACCCTTCAGGCGATCCATCCTACATTGTATGCCAGGCCCATCACCTTCCTCAAGCACTTCTGGCTTTAGCAAACAGATAACCCCCACCTTGGATCTAACTAAACTTTGGCTCTAGCAGACTGCTGGAGGGAATAACTTCCAGAGATGTGGCCCTATGACTGACAACATCCTGCCATCAGCAGCAGAGATTTTAACCCCAGTAATTGACAATGAGATCAATCAAGAGGATCACTATTCCTGCAATGAGAAATGTTGAGTTATGTTTCAGCTAACACACAGAGACCCCAATCAAAGATTAGGTCTCTAATGTGGTAGGCACTGTACATACACCTTGAATTCCCATCAGAAATGAGCTGGAGCCAGTGCAGAGCAGAGAAGACAACAAGCCTCTACATTTTCTACTACTGAAACTTCTGAATACTTTTCAAAGGCAACAAATAGAGTGCATGGCAGTAATGTAGCCTGATGATCAGAAATATGCAGATGACTGTGTCAAGGTCTTCATCAGAGGAGATGTTGGCAGACCTGGGACCCACTATAGCCTGAAAAAAGGTGCCACAACTGCTACCTAAAAATCTAATGTATCCAGTGAGACCCCCAAAGGAAAGTAGAGCATGTTTTCACCACCACCATTTGGGATCTCTCCAACAGGGAATTTGTCTACATTACTAAGCCATCACACAGGTCAGCACAGTTGAAGGTCTCTGTTCAGGACTGAGGTGCACCAGCAGAGTTGTCTGGGGCAACCATATGCAGCATCTGACTTGAGCAGTAAATGTTAGTCCTTCACCTTAATAAGCACTACTTTCATCCACAAACATTTTAATTAAAAGAATGTAAGAGAAAACTAAGTTGGTAAGTGATCAGGCTCCATCAAAATGTAATCTGAGGCAGTGCAGCTCATCATTAATTTTTTTTTACCAGCAGTCCATATCAATTGCAACTTTGCAGGATTGCACCAAAGCTTGTTTCCTTTTCCAGCCAACCAAGACTGAGAGCTAAGGGACAACTTTCCTTATTTATTGTTAGTGTGCAGGTAATTATGGCAAATCAAGCACTGCTCTTCAATGAGGCTTTATTGAAAATTCAGAAGATTCTGACAACCTATTTAGTTGGGTTTTTTTTTAAATATAGTACAGTCCTACCTGTCTGAAAGGTTTTGTGGATGTACAAAATATTTGGATAAATAGATTTTAGGGGAACATGAGACAGATCCAGTGTGTTGGGAAAAGTTACTAGGAAGTTTTGGTTAGATGAGGTACAAATAAACAAGACTGACCTGGATACCAGATTGACCTATATACTTTTTCTAAAGTTTTCAAGAACATTATGGCTATCTGCCTAATTTGTAACATGTGTTCTCAGTTTTATTTGCTTTCTCATTTAAAATGAAATAAAACGAATAAGCTTTAATCCTCTGGTATTTGACTTGCAAGACAGTTGGCATTTCCAATGTGTCTACATCATTTGCAGTAGTGTCACATTAGAGCAGTGTTTTGGGGAATGAAAGGAAAAATATACTAGTACACCTACTTGGTAAGTTCCCTTATATAAATCAAAACTACAATATTGATTTTGAATTCCACATCTTATAATGGTGTTACAGAAGTTTTTGGAGCTATTAACGTATAACTTTATTTATAGGCGGGCATTCTTGGGAGCCTCATCATTTGATAACTGAAATGAGTAATCAAAATGGTAAAAGTAGCTTTTGGTCAAATTCAGCCCTCATGTACAAAGTTGCAGCTTTTAAATCAGTGGATGTTTTGTGCACATATCCCAAGAAGAATTTGGCTTGGAAACATTTCTAATGGAGGGCTTGCAAAATATATATGAATAGAATTTCAAGTGCATCTTCGCCTATTGAAATTGCAAGCTCTTTGAGACATGGCCTGCCTTTTTGTTATGTGTTTATACAGCACCTAGCACCGTGGGCAGGGCCAGCTCCAGGGTTTTGGCTGCCCCAAGCAGCCAAACAAAAAAAAACAAAAAAAAAGCCGCGATCGCGATCCGTGGCAGCAATTCGGCGGGAGGTCCTTCGCTCCGAGCAGTAGTGAGGGACCGTCTGCTGAATTGCCGCCGAACAGCTGGACATGCCGCCCCTCTCCGAAGTGGCCGCCCCAAGCACCTGCTTGGTAAGCTGGTGCCAGGAGCTGGCCCTGACCGTGGGGCTCTGGCTACTGGGCACTAGAGTAATAATAATAATAATAATAATAATAATAATAAATAATAAATAATTAATAAAATTTTGATTTTCAGGTTGCTGGTTGAAAAGGCTTATCTACATTGGGGATTTTTACACCAGTGTAGTAACTGCTTATGAGCCCTTCACTTTTATCAGGGGCAAATTCATATGCACACAAAATGTAAATGAGGAAAACATTAATGATCTGGGGGCACATATACTGACATTAGGGCTGAGAGCTTAACATATTGTGACGGAAGTACTAGATAGATGGAGTTAATCCTTTTAGATTGATAACCTCAGGAGGTTCTCAGGTTCATTCTGCTTTAGATAGCCTCCTGGAGATACAGCACAAAAGGCATAGCCCATGGGCTGGGGCGGCAAAGGTGGCTTTAAGCCATCAGTGGGGGCCTGGCATCAGTTAGTTAGCCACAGGGTGTTCTGTGCACTCAGAGCAGCCCAGAACTCCTCTTAACGCTCTGGTGCTATTTCCCTCCCCCCCTTTACCCCTAACATGCTTCCTCACACCTGATCTCTGTCCCACCATGCTCCCACACCAGGGCTGGCCAGGGGGACTAGTGTGGAAACAGAATCCCTCCCTAAATTTTGCATGCTTATTTTTAGCCTGTTCAAACTAGTCACGCCTCTTTGGCCTAGAAATTGATCTGGAATTCTTGTGAGACTTTCTCAAGAGATTTCATGCACTTCTTGGTTCTGGCAAGTTCAGAGATACCGTGAGAATAGTCTTCCTTGCAGTATTTTGGTATTTCCTCTTCAGGTTCCAGCTGAAACCAGGAAGAGTAGAGTTGTAAACCACCCTTTTTCTAACCTCAGAAAGCTCATTTCAAGTTTTGGGCAAAAATTTCGGTCTCTTCTTCCAATCACTAATCAATAGTAATGGGCTCAATGCTTTAGTACTCAGGCAAGATTACTTCTTGAAGCCAGTAGGAGTCTAGCCTTAGTAAACAGTGCAAGACATTAATATTTAATGACATTCCATTTACAGGCAATGTTTTTCTATAGTAAGAGCAGCCAGTTAGATATAGTTGGGAGCATTTTATAAGAAGAAGTGTTATGTCCAGGACCTTTAGAATTTCACAGCACGTAAAGGTCTATCCTGATAGCAGGTATTGTTGGATTCTGTGATGTATGTCTCTCTTTGTATATGTAAAACGTAACAAATTCCACTGTAGTAGATGTTGATTTCTGCTGCAGATTTTTTGTTTTCTCTGTCCTAATGCATAAGACAACACAGTTCACAAAAACACTAGTATATGTATCAAAATTATTAAGTATTTTAAATGGCCTTTGTTTTTGACAATTGTACTGTAGTGTTCTTGATGCTTGATTAATTTGCTGCAGTTTGCATCTTATAAAGCAAAGGTCAGTGAGTGGTTTTCACAATCACTGC